GTTCATGCTTTTGTGTCATAAGTGCAGAAAGTCTATCATTGAGAAACTGTTCATTATTGAGAAACTTAATGCCAGCATTGTGTGGTCAAGAGGATTTCTCTGTAAAGCGTTTTTTTACTAGCGATTGTAAAAGAATGGGGCCTATACTGAAGAGTATGTGAAAACTGTAAACATATTTGAGAAGTTTGTATAAGTAGTTCACAATTGTAAGACCAGCAAGAAATAGACCACAAAATAAGTTGAGTGGTAGAGTACATAGTATAGTAGCATAGTAGCTTTTGTGTTTAGTGCTAGATCATTGTGTCTGCACAGTAGCTGCCTCTGACTCTGCTAAGAGACTTTTACACTAAAGTGTATCATATTTGGGACAAAGTTAAGAAGAAGCTTGTCTTTGGCCTTATGGACTTCCAGCTACCAGTAGGCTTGTTTTTTGTGGGGCATAGTTGACTAGCCATAGCTTGACAAGCACATGCTGTGGTGATTGAAATAGTTTAGATAAAGGGAATATACAATGACAAGTTCAACTTATTGGCAAAAGACTTTAAGGTTTACTGTTCAGTTTGAGATAGAAGAGCTTTGTTAGGAGTTTGGAGTAGCAAATGGAAATTCAAGGAACATCTCCAGGATATGTCTTTGCTAACAAACTGGTCAAACTTGATCAATTAAATTAAGTATCAATTGAACTGAACAGAAATCTGACCAGGATTTAGTGGTAGCATAACATGTTAGCAAAGACATGTCCCTTGAATTCTCAAGAGCATTTTCTCTTTTGTCAACATCTCAGCCTCATCCTGTCCACTCCATGTTGACCTCAGTTTCACTTCCTCCAACTTCCTTTTGCTTCTATCCTCCCGAGTCTGTGATGATTCCACCTACTGAGAGGATCAAATGACTGTGATTTTCTGATTTTCCTCTGATATGCAGACCACCGCTAAAGCTGTCATGACCATTACTTGTAGCAGATGTGCATGTGAGCTCTGTGGTGGAGAGAAACCAGGTGGGCCTTTTGCTTCCATGAAAAGTAGGGAAGCGCATTCTTTTTGGCATGTCGGTGTAACTGCGCCTTTGAACTTGGAGTTCTGAGACCACAGGTGGATGTTTGGGCCAGGTGTCAATGCTAATTATATGATGAAGTAACTATAAAATGGGTGCAATTTCCTTTTCCTTGATGTTAGAGACACACTATAAACTGGACTTGTTGACTACAAGCATTGGATTCTAGACAGAGTGTTTATTAAGTCAATTTGAAGATCAAGTTAACAGTGTGTAATGATTATCTAACTTGAATCAAATTTACACACCCTCATCTCTTTGCTAAATGTGTTCAATTGGCCAAGATGTTTGACGTTTGCTTCTTTACTTTGCACTGGAGTTCAAAGGCTAACAGGTAATTAACATTTGCTTCAAACGATGTTATGTTGTTAAGTAACCCTAAATAGACTTGCTTACTTATTTTGACATTGTAGAACATACTATTATCTATTAAAATGGACAAAAATGTGTGTCATCGTTAAAAAAAAGTAGTAGATTTTTGTTTGTACTTTTCCCAATTTTTATATAGCTTCCATTACTTGTTGGTCTGGCAACTACATTATTCTTGTAGCTCCAGTGCAAAACTTCAGACACCAAACATTTCCTGTCTGATCATAGACCCGTATCCTCTTATTTGGATAACCAAGTAGAAAAAATCAGCATTAATCCATATTTGAGAATGGGTAGGAGTAGCATAACTGTTTTCAGGAAATAAATAATAATAGTAACGCTTTTGCATCTGGTCATTTTGACATGGTTCCTTACTCTGGGTTCACACGAGCAGCGACTTTGGCCTCTTACCTCCCAAATTGCTGGTCATTTATTGCCTTTGGGCGATTCTAAACTCAAGCTGACCTTTGGTTGCCATGGTTTTACTGACACCAAGCAAATGCCATGACTTTACTGACTAGTGGCTACAGATTGACCTCTCAGTTTGACCACAAATCAAATATCTTCTCACCTAGATCTTAACACAGATGTTTTGAAGGTGAAAAGTGAAATCGCTTGTCTACAAATTTAATCCCTGCATAGTGCATTACTGTATGTGTAGTGAGTATTAGAAGAAAAAGATGATTTTACTTGTATTTTTCCTCAGACCTGGTTTGTCTGATGTCTGATGTAGTCTGCATTCAACCAGCACAGCTCAACAGCCACATTTATAGAACTATATCACCTAACATTGTGTTAGGTACAATAAATGTGGTGTTATTGTAGTATATAGTGCAGTAACTATGTTAACTGGCGTCAGGTACAGGCCTTGCTGATCATCTTCATTTGGGGTAAGGGGAAAATTATGACATATTCCACAAATTGTCGCTTTAATAGTACTTTGTTTATATTCCATGCTGAAAGCTTCCGCTATCAGTACCAACAGCTGGATTTGGTTGTTCACTATCCAGTCAAAGGCGGAAGTGTCAGTCTCTCTTCAAGTATTATGACCTTGCAGGTTGGATTGCGATATATCCTGTGGTGTATTGTTGGCTTAAAGCCAGCTTGGTCACGGTGACGCATGCTTGATAGTAGCAGCGTGAGGCTGTCTGATCTGCAAGTTGTCTTTCTAAAACAGCAGCAGATATCAGGAACAGATGCCTTGGCGCAATGCCCACCAGCCAGTGTGCTAAAAGGACAGAGAGTGGACAACATGTCTGCCATGAAAACAGCAGAAATCTGAGAGAGGCTGGGGTCAACGCTGCTGCATTAGCTTGAGAGCTTCATCCAAGAGAGGCAGATAGTTTAAAGCTTTGACATGAACTGAGTAAATGCACATTCTAGGAGGAGTTCAAGTACTTACAGTGTCCAGTTACAGGTTTGGTTAATAAAGATTAACATTTTTGCCAAGGAAGAGCACTAAAAATGACCAAGGGAGAAATTTGAAAGGAATAATAGGAAAAATAAGAAGAGGGAAAGAGAATATTTGGAGCAAAGTGAGAGATGTGAGGGAATGAAAGAGAAAGTAGTGAGAGATTAAGGGACACACTGACCCACTTTCATTAGTGAGCACTGCAGAGAGGGGAGGGAAAGAGGGGAATGAAAGATCAAGATCAGTGATGGATGGTTTCTCTCTGACATTTATAGTACCCCGGTCAGACTGTGAACTGCAGCAGCCTGGTTAGTAGGATTTAGCTGTGATTGAAGTCTTCCGGTGGTGGAATTTAGGTCTAGTTCATGCTGCTGATCTAAGGACTGGTTTGGGGTTGCTCTTATGATAGTTAGTGTTTGTGTTTTGGTGGGAGAAGTCTGAGGTCTCCTACCCAACTCGTACCCAAGAGGGCCATACAAAATGTCAGGTTTTGGGCCGGATTCAGGTTGGTTGTCTAATCAGTGATTTAATGTAGTACATTTGTTTTTAATTTGAAGGATTGTGCCTACATAAATTCTATGCACTCCCACCCAGTTCTCTCTCTCTCTGGATGGATGATGAGAGGAATATGTTGGCTTGGTGAAAGGTTACAGTGGATATTTCTCCTTGCTTGTTAAGTTCACTGCAAAGTGTGTTAAACATTTCTACAGTAGAAGCAGCAGCGTAAGGAACTTTGGTGCAGCAGGGCTAACATTTGATTAGAGGAGGGTAGAGGTTGTTCTCTGCCAGGTATGATCAGCAACTCCAATAAAATATACTGATGATAAATACTGTTGATGTGATATGAAAATTTTCTAAGCATGACATTTACTGCTGGTCTACTGAAGTGCAGTGCACTGTAAACCTGTAAAATTTAGCAATACCATGCGGGCCTAGTTGGCTCAGTTCTCAAGCTGTGGGTACAGGTTGGGTTTGGGCTTCAGTTTCATGAACCTCTAAGAAGAAGTTGGTCTTGGTTTGGTCCATCAGAACCCACTTTTATGAGAAAAGTTATAGAGGGCTTTAGTGTACTCACAATCCCTAAATCTCTAAACGCTCTTGTATTGTGGAAAAAAGCCTCAATTAGGGATGGGTGATCTTTCAAATGCAAACATGTCAAATTTGTTCATTGTGACATTGTATATTGCCAAATTATTGTTCTGTAGGTCAGTCGCTAGTGTCATGTATGCTTAAAACACAAAGCTAGGCCTAAATCACTGAATCAACCAAACAAGATATGAAAAATTATTACTGAAATAGTTACTGATACACCCCTTGGTCTCTGCTGAGTGTCTCATTTACCATCTTTTAATGCAAACAATGGTCAGTGATCAAAACTAAGCATATGTGTGCATTCTATCAGGGTAAAGTGGGCAGAGTGGAGGGTGAGGAGGGGCATATGCTACACCCTTGCACAAATGACTTTTTCATCTGCTGCTTCTAGGATTTTATATTTAGATTTTAGTTTAGATTTTTTGGAAGGTTTTTGTTATAGGGCAGGCACAACAGTTTAACATATATATAACAGTTTAATCACAACATTTTAAATTATTGAATAGCCAAACTTGAATGGTGTGTCGAAAATTGTAGCAAACCTGAAAATGTGTTCCATTACACCGATACCTCTTATCCTAGCTACATGCTATAAACCTCTGCTAATCTTTCTGTTTACATTTTTATTCATAACAATATAAATATTTTCTCATTGATTAAAAATGTACATTACAATAGCAAAAATGGTTAAAATGCTCATCCATACCAATAGCTGTGACCGTATCTGAGTCCAGCACACAAACGTGCAAGCACTACTAGCACTGTTAGTCATGACCTGCATGAGAGTCATGTGATTATAAGAGCAAATAGCCTGAATGGAGTGCAGAATGTATGGAGAGCCCGCATGTATTTATGAGTCTAATACTGTACTCTGTGTGGGTGATGCAGCCATTTATGATGATGAATGAAGATAGTATTTATAATGATGATGATCATAATAATCATGCTGGTGGTAAAGTTGACTATATTGATGATAATGGTGATGATAATGGCTCTGATGACGATAATGGTGATGATGGTAATAGTGATAGGTATCCACTCATTCTCTCTCCTTTCTCTCTCACTCTATTCACAGGCAAGAGGTTCAGGAGAACTGTGTTCGCTGGCGAAAGAAATTCTCCTTTGTGTGTAAGCTGAGTGCCAATCCTAACACAGGGGTCCTGGACCCCTGCATCTGCCGTGTGTCTGTGCGAAAGGTACACACACACAACCACACTCTCACACTCAGGAGCGCATTAAGCATCATTAACATGGTTTGCTTTACCTCGCACACATTTAAACACAAGTCTTTTAAATATATTTAAATGTATATTTAAATATGATTTAAGATTGCGATTACTAGGTACTAGGGTGGTCATAATTAAGTCAGTTGTAGTTACCTTTTCTTAAAAACTCAGATTACTTAATTAATTGTGAAAATAATTGTTATTTTACTCGATTATTAAAGTAGTCAACAGTGACTGCCCTAAATGATGTCTACATAGTCAATGTTCTTTGGCTAATATACTGTAGCACTTTATTTTAATGATAATATTTATCATCATAACACATGAATAAGCACGTCATAATGTATTTAAAATCAATACTCAACTATTTATAAACTGTTTATGTCAGTGTTCACAAGATGATATTAGATGTTTTGTGAAGTAAATGATATTGCATTGTAAGAGTGGTAATATTGTGTTTCAGGGTGCTTGTTTCTTTTCCTTTGTGCTTGAACTCTGTTCACCCTGTACAGTAACCATGGCAATAGCTAACAGATTGCATAATCATGTCTATCTTCTCTCACTGGTCCTTTCTGTCTCTCTCTCTGTCTCACTTTACAGGAACTCAAGGGTGGAAAGTCTTTTTCAAAGGTACGAGTCTGCCTTGAACTTTCTCTTTGACCATTGCGTTCCCGTCTCTTTCCTACTCTTCATGCCTCTTTCTTATCTTTCTGTTTTTAGATTCTTCTGTTTCTGCCCATCTCTCTGTTTCTCTCTGTCCATCTCTCATCCTTTCTCTTGCTCTCTCTCTGGAAGAAGTCAGAGTGTCCATTTATCCTTTTCAGCCTATGTTTGTAAACACACGCTCCCCTGGGAGTGGTGGAGTCGTTTTCATGAACACTCATGTAGAGAACAGAATCTTTACTGCATTTGGTGTGTTAGTGTGTAAACTTGTGCAACTTTGTATTCTCTAAGTCATACTCCTTACTGCATCACTCACTATAATTCAATTCAGTTTTGTAAGTTTTATTGGCAGGACCATATTTACATACCCTATTACTAAAGCACCATCAAAAAAACGATGATAAAATGGTACTTGTGCACCACAATACTGATTTTTAGTTTTAGTGGTGGGCATAACAGCCATATTTGTTACTGGAATTTGTGAGGCATTGTGCATCATATCTCATTTTTATTTAACCTTCGTTTGATGTTTATGTTTTTGTTACTCTGTGGGTCTGGTGGACCTACCGCATTATTGTTTTTTTAAATCAAAACAGCCATAACAATTTTTGTGAAAATACCAGATGTTTAAAATATCACACATGGTCAGCGTAGGGTTCTCCTTTAGCAGCTGTAGCCAGTCAGCAGCCTGTCCATGTTGTCCACCCTCACACATATACAAACACATACACACACAGACACACACCCACTAACAGCAGGCCATGTAGGAGGAGAACTGAGTGAAGGGATGCAGCACCTCCACACTTTTATCCCCCGCAACATCACACCAACACCACATGCGTAATATAAATGTGTAGGGATGTACAGTGTGAAGTCATTGAACATGTGTTATTTTATATGTTCTTCACAGAAAATTTTTTTTGGTAAACTTTGAAAATGCGTCCCACAGACACGAACACCACACAAGGAATAAGCTCCACGTAGAAGCCTTAAAGCTACTGCACACTGGACACATCAGGCAGCTGACATGCAGTGTCCAAAAATTTAAAACTGTTGTTTTTAATGAAGGTGTGCACACCATCCAGGACCAGAGCACAAATTCATAGTAGGTGACCACTTATAATTTACATTAAAAAAAAAACAGTCTTTAAGATAAATAGATGCTAACAAACAAATGCTAAGGGTCCGTTTACCTCAGCTATAGTTATTAGTCTAGTTACATTGTTTTTCACCTTATTCCTTTTAGTTTGAAACAGTTTATGAAGAGTTAATTAGCTGATACCAAACTTGATAAATTTACATGATGTTGAACATTGTATTGTGCTGCGCTTCCTAAGTGCTATAGCTGTGCTTTTTACTGTCTATGTGGTGCAGTAGCCTTTAGACAGCTGCAGTAGTCTTTGTATATTTCCTTTTTAGACTCTGCACTACCTCCTGGAGGAGTATAAATTTCAGACATCTCGTGGTTGTTACATATGAGAATACATAACCTTTGAGAAAAGCTAATCATAAATTCTAATTCACTATTTTTAGACTTTCATGACTGTTTAGATCTTATCTGTAGATTTCACAAATAACAAAACTGCGATGTATGTATGTAGTAATTGTGTGGTTTATGTTTGGTTTGTACCTGGTTAATCAGTACAATACTGTGTAAGGTCACCTTTGGTTTTAGAAAAATAAAACCAAACAAAACAGTCCAATCAAAACAAGCTGTGTCAGGTTTGTAAAACATTCTTTTAGAATGAGAGAACAATACAATACAGCAGTACATGGCTTTATTAACATTAATAATGCATACTAATACAAATAACATATCATCTGATACTGTGATACAGTGATATATTTGGAAAATATAGTGAAATTTATCAGTAGCGCCCAGCACTACCTACATGGAAGTTCAGATTATATCAGTTATTAGGTCTGAAGAGTAAGATGCAGATAGCGCAAGAGAGAGAGCGTAAGAAAAGCGCGCATGTGCATGAGAGAGAGAGAGAGAGAGAGAGAGAGAGAGAGAGAGAGAGAGAGAGAATGTTCTAGTAAGCATAGTTTCAGAGGTTCTAGCCAATGTAATGCCCTGTTCAGTGAGCTTCCCCAGTCTAGTCTGGACATGTATTTGGAATGAAGTCCCTCCCTGGAATTCCTGCTCTGTGTGTGTGTGTGTCTGTGTGTGCTTTTGCATGTACATTCTTCTGTGTGTTACTTTTTTACACCAATATAACATATTTTATGTACTATTAAGCAATACAGGCATCCATAGACAGGGAAGCCAGTGATTTGTAGCATCTTGAGATATTCAGTATCAGCATATTGCTGCCGTTGGAAGAAAACCTCATATCCCCAAAATGGTAACTTTACAGGAGAAGGAAATGTAATGTAATTATAATGTAAGTCAGTGGAACCAGAGTTTTTTCCAAGTCATTTTGGGCCTTTTATTGGTCCTTTCTTCATGAAATTTACACACAATATAAAGGGCAACAGGTATTTTCGAATTCTGTCAAAAACTGAAAAACTGAAAAACAGAAATGGAGATACGAGGTTTTCTTTCGACAGCAGCGATATACAAGATCTAGTTTTGCAGTCAACTGTGTGACACTATATTTGTAACTAGAGATGTTTTTCATAATCTTACAAACATTTGATCTAAAGGCGTTGGCTCAATTGTATGAAAATAGTTATATACTACTGCTCAAAAATTTGGAATTATTGCCATATAAGCCATTTTTTACATGTTTTATTCAATATTTCAAGAATTCAGGGAACAAGAATTTATGTTATGATAAATAATATGCTTTAATTATTTGTTTACATTTTTTCATTCACTTTAGATTTCAACATTTCACTTTTGAATTAAAATGAATTGATATTCATTTTATTGTAGCTTTATTTCCAGTGTTCTGCAGTTTTTTTTTTAGCATTTTAGAATCTGCTACACACCTGTGCATCATTCATCATTAAATTTTACAGCTTAAACCATGTCTAATATACCAAACAGTCTAATATTATTACCAAAATTAAAATGTACTAAATAAATTTGTACATGTATCTGCAACCAATTTGGTTTTATGCTATTGGAACTTCAAACTTTTCAACAGCAATTCCAAAATTTTGGATGGAAGTGTAAACAGTAAAGTTGACACCTGACACTGAGGGAGGTTCATTGAGAAGTCAGAAACCAACCTGTGATCTTCTAAAGCCAGCAATATGTGTTGAAAGTTCAAAAGAACTAAGCAAAATTGAACTACAGACAAAAAAAAGATTTTTTTGAAACATCGTCTCAGTTTGAGGTATTCTGCTTACTTTAAAAGATCACAGGTTGGTTTCTGACTTCTCAGTGAACTGCATTCATTACATAAATGTATTAAATTCTAACAGCAGCACACCTGATTTGATCATTTTCTTTAATGAAAGATTGATTATCTAACGCAGATATTGAATGGTAACCCAGCTTGCTCAAGGCTTGCTCAGTGAATATTGGTATTCATTCTAGTGTTTTTTTTAACGCTTATCACCCCGATAAATGGCTTAACATATCATTTTCTCATATGCCTTCTGCATAGTACTATATATTCCATGAAATGTTAAGGTCAAGGAAGACCAGTGACCCTGCAGTTACAGCATTCTGTAAATGTATTGCTGCTATAAAAATGTGACTTCTGTGTCAGAGTTCTTCCCTATCACATGATATGGACCGTCCCAAAGGAGCAGTAGCAGCAGAGTGTTTTCTGCTTGCTCGGCTGCTTTGATTGATGAGCTTTTGAGCTCCGCACAATCTTCTCGAGGCTTCTTTCAGCAGCTGTTTATCTTGTTTTTGCCATCTCAGTGGAGGCGTGTGACTGACATGCTGATTGAAAGACAGTTAACAGGAAACCAGGCCTACCAACAGCTACTGGATTTTAGAAGCAGTTCTAATGTAACATGTTTTGAGACAGGCATCAGAACAGAAAATTATCTCCTAGTGCCAAACCAGTATATTGTTTGATATTGGTTTCGACATGGTTTCACATGTTTACCAGCATTAGAGGAAATCCAGCAGATAGAGCACCAAAATTTTATTATGTTTCAAGAAAGTGATTTTGTTGTGTGTGAACATATCTTATGTGTGAGGTGCTTAAACATAAGGTTAGTTGTAGGTGTCTTCTCTCTCTCTCTCTCTCTCTCTCTCTATATATATATATATATATATATATATATATATATATATATATATATATATATATCCAAAATGGTAACTTTACAGGAGAAGGAAAAAACCTACTTTACTTTCAGTGTAAGTCAATGGAACCAGATGTTTTTATATAACGTGTTTATATATATATATATATATATATATATATATATATATATATATATATATATATATATAAACACGTTTTTATAAATATATATAAACACATTTTTTGTAATATTCTGTTGCTTATTGGACAAAAGTGATGATCATATCAGTCAGTAAAACCCCTTTAATCTCCAGGTTTATTAATTTTTTAAGATTTATTAATTTTAAGACTTATTCCTTGGTAACTCCTTTAAATTATTTAGTAAATACTATAAATTATTATTCACTAACTACTATACATTATTTAGACTGTGAATGTCAGAAGCTACTGTGAATTATCCAGTAACTACTGTGAATTCTTCAGTAACTACTAGGGGTGGGAATCTCTAGGCACCTCACGATTCGATTCGATTACGATTCAGAGGGCTGTGGTGCGATTATAAAACGATTATCGATGCATCTCGATGCATCTTTTTTTTCTATATAGCATTTATATTTTCTCACTGTGTGAGCTCAAGTTTCGAGTTCAAGTTTCAAATTTATTTGTCATTTGCACAACATGTCAGGACATTTATGCATTGAAATGCTTGTGGTGAGGCTCAGCTAATCACTCTACAGAAAGTAAATAAGTAAAAATAAAAATACAAGAAAAACCAACTGAAATATATTAAATATACACAAAATATACACA